CTGATTTAGAGAACTACCCATTTGACAACCATCAGTGCACCTCTTCGCCAGTGCGGACAAGGCGCGAAGACCTGGTGAGCTGACTGCGATGGATTCGAATTTCTTAGGGTTTTTAGGTGGCTTTTACACCTGGCAGTTTAGAGTTCTGGGGGTTTCCGAATTTCTTAGGGTTTTTAGGTGGCTTTTGCACCTGGCAGTTTAGAGTTCTGGGGGTTCACCACCAGCAAAGGAATCAGAAAATGACAGAACTTCAGCCAGAAAGCCAGGTAAGAGTCGTCCTCGAAGTCCAGGCATACGTTGATTTCCCAGTGGCATTGCCCTCTCTTCTTGCCAATCTGGGAAAGAGCGGGCTATGGATTTTCCTACAGCTCTATGAGACAAAGCCTCTAGGTCTCCAGTTGAAGGCTTAGGAGGTTGAGGCTTTGGGCTTTGGAGGCTTGATAAACCCTAAACCCTAAACCCCTAATTAAACCCTGAACCCCTAAACCCTAAACCCTAAACCCTAAACCCCTAATTAAACCCGGAACCCCTAAACCCTAAACCCTACTATAAGGGCCCCTAGCTCGGAGGACTGCCCCAGGATTTAGCAGGGTCTTTCCTCTCCAGCTTAAGGCTTTTTAGGAGTTTGCGGCTTAGGGTGTTTGAGCTCTGTACTCCGACACACCCAAAGCCCCAACTTCTTAAGAAACACGAATCCTTCAGCATGCTCAAGCTTGTCCTACCCACTCGGGGTTTTGGTTTGTTGATTGAAGTTGGTAGGGGCGTGGACCGAGGTGACTTACGCCCCACCCCCACTCCCCTCCCCTCCCCCGGTTCAACATGCCCTCGACGATGAGTCCTTCTCCCGTCAGACGCAGCGAGCTAGTCCACTATGCGTTACATTGGCAAAAGATGTTGTGAGTCATCTTAATCTCCATTGCAGCGGAGCAACCCCGTAGGCGACGAACTGACACTCGGGCACTTCGCGACAGAGCTGAAGACAAAGAGGAAGAGACACTGATATACCTGAGCTTCCAGTCTTCTACGCCCCCCCAGCGTTTGAGAGCCTGAGCATATCGTTCATGCACAACACCAGGACGAAAAGAATGCAGGTCGTTGCTGCTTTCTGTGGTGACGACTCAACAGCCAGAGCAAGCTTCAGTATAACTTGTGCCGAGTGGATGCCAGCACCGTGCAGTTTCCAGAAGCATGCCTGTGAACAGGTTCCTGTGCGCGCATACCGTGGAAAGAGGCTCAGCCCCTTCTTCCGTGAGTTTTTGTGTACTGCCTACGAAAGTCCCTTAACCCTAAACAAGAAGAGGCCCTCATCTCTCCAAGACAAGGCTCCGAGAAGTACGTCTGAGCCATCGCATTCGGCAGCTCTCCTGCTAAAGTAAAGTAACCAGTGAAACCAAGCGCGGTGCCGGCTCACTAGATCAGTACGTGGGCGTCTATCAGGGTTAATTACAACAGGGTCTCTTCAGAGGTATAGCAATCATTCAAAATGTTTCTCTACGGGTTTATGTCGTTTAAGATTTTCACACTCGCATTCCGACGAGACAGGCAGGGAGGGTTTTGGGCTTATTAAGCTTGTTTGCTACTCCAGGGGTCTCGAGCCGTTTTAAACCCCCAAAACGAGTTTGGGGTTTCTAGAACTTTGCTGCGGGGGTCTTCTCTTCTACACCTCGCTTGTCTCTTCCTATGCCTGATGATGTAGTCAGACTTCGGGTTGAGGCACCATCAGTATACCATGGTGGTAATGTAGGGGCCTTAATTATTATCATGGGGTATACTATGGTAGTAATGTAGGGGCCTTAATTAGAATAAGGCTTTGGGGTACATTAATTTTAGTGTAACTATAATGAGGAACCCCAAAATAGTCTTGGTATCTTTTAAATCCCCTATAGTACTATGGTAGTAAACCTATCTGTTTGGCCTTCGGAGAGCTGCAGGAGCTGCACGGTACGAACGCGGCCACTCGTCCAGCCTGGATGAACGGCAAGAGCCGATGACATATACGGGTCTGAATAATTAATATAGGGACCTACAAATAGAATGGGGTTTCGGTGCCCCTTATACTATAAATTATGAAAAGGAACACCCAAAAGAGTATTTGGTAATTATTTAGGCCCTTACATTAAGGGGCTACGGTTTAGCTAGTTGTCTACTGTCCCTTACAGTCCTTATAACGTATAAAGTTACACCATAGTATATACCCCCCGAGACTCTATGTTTTCTATTCAAGTGGCTCCACTCGGCCATGGTCCACAGCAAGAAATGCACCACGATTCACACCAATATTCTTAGTATATATATATATATATGTAATATATACATATGTAGAATGTACAGTTCTTTGCCGTCTGCTGTATGTATGTATGTATAGATAGATGGATGGATAGATAGATAGATGGTGTATATACCGTGTAACAAAAGTGTAGTGTATTGGCAGGGTATGACAAAGCCGCTGTCATGAGGAATGCAGGCCATAAAACCTGCCCGGACCACATAGAGGGGTGGCATCGCAATACTAAGTACACTCAAGGATTTGGGTTTTGGGTTTAGGGTAAGAAGGGTTGCCATAAACGTCACCATAAAAGGTTGTCTGCTAGTTGCAACTTCCGTAGCATGAGATCCAGCGCACAGTCACGGTGACAGCCGCCGCCGGCCCAGAGCTCCCGAAAGCGTGACACTTCTTCAACCCTTACCCTACGACAAACAAGAAACCGGAAACCACAACCTCGACAGCCTAAAACGCAACACCCGACCAACCTACATGCTTCCTTTCTCGGCAGTAATCGGGTCGAGGGTTCTCAATGATTGAGAATTATCACTCAAGCTCCGCAACCCTCCCTCAAGCCCTGAGCTCGTGAACTCAAACACCTAGGACTCTAAACCACTAAGCCCCCATGAAGACTCTAAATGACCCCTAAGCCATGCATCCCAGGCTGGTCCTTTTGAAGCGTGTGCTGCGCCGGAGCTCTGACTCGCCTCTCCAGTTTTCGGGTTGGTCCGGATCACCTGGGTACCCTAAAAGCCATGGTGTCGAGGCCAAAGAAGCCATGTAGGTTTAGGGTTTAGGGTTTAGGGTTTCGACTCACACACTCGCACAAGGCAGGCATGGCAAGAAAGTCCCGGGTTTAGGGTTTAGGGTTTAGGGTTTAGGGTAGCATCTTGGCTTCTGAATGGGGGAAGACCTAGGTTGCCTTAACTCCTGTGCTCGTGTTCCGGCTGTGAAGCCGAGGGCCTGCACCGGCATAGTAAACGGTTCCTAGGATCTTCGTTCCCGCATGCACAAATTCCATGATCACCGAAGTTTTGGAGTTGCTGCTTTTGAGACAGCCGGAGGGATGACTGTCGCCGTGGGAAGTTTTGACACCGTCTTCCTCTCCAAGGGTCAGCACCAACATTCCCATGATCATACCCCCGATGCATAGGAAATACCCGGCGAGTTTCCACCAGGGCTCTCCATCCAATTCCCGCAGCACGATCACAGCGGACAAGCTGTTTGTCAGTATGCTTGAGCCTTGGAAGACTGTGACGATGAACAAAGCCTCGTATTTCCGCATAGCCCTTTGCATGTAAGGCACGTTTGTAATGGCGAAGAAGGCTGCGCCAGCAGAAATTAACCACGGGAGCCAGTTGCCCCAAGTTATGCCACAGGAGCCGTTGAAACAATCCTTCACAAAGACTGCAGCCAAACCTGGAGGCTTTTTCTGGCTTGCCTCTCTCTCTCTCTCTCTCTCTCACTCTCTCTCCCTCCATCCCAGTGGCCTGTTAGGGGGATGAATAGCTAGAATAATGTGTTGGGGATACTGTAGTATGATTGCACTTGGAGCCTTAGATAAGAACATTGCCTATTTTTCAGGCTTCTCTATTAGCTGCAAGCTTTGGGGGATGCTGGGAAATCTGCTGTGTTAACTTGGCTCCAAGGTGCGGGTGCACCACATGTTGCCTGCGAGCGATCCAGAAATCGTTCCGAGGCAAAAGCCCCGGATCACAGAGCCATGTGGACAGCGTGCAAGCACTCGCACATTAATAGCAAGCCACGAAACAAACACGATACCGTATGCCGCAACGCGCCATTGAAGCAACACATCCTGCGCCCGCTCAAGCGTCCATTTCTCCGTCTGCATCTCTTTGTTGAAAAAGACGGACAGAGTTGCGGTCACAAAGACGATGACTATCCCAATGCATCGACATCGCGTCACCTGTTCACCGAGCGTGATCGGAGCCACCCTGACAAGAAGCTTCTTTGTGGAAGTTGCGCTAGAACAATGGGGCCGGAATTTGGGAAACGTCCTGGGGCAGGTGTATCTACGAATATACATGGCCAAGCTGCAAGGAATTGGCAATGATGTTAAAGCCGGTAAACGGAGAGATGATGGAGGCCGGCGCAAAGGCATAGCCCGACACATCAAGGGATGGTCCGAGGACGAGGTTGAGAAACATTCCGGCAGCAAAGCAAAGTTCGCCTGATGCTGGTCGGGACCGGTTGTGCAAGGCCACATGCAGCAGTCTGCAACAACATCCGACATGAACTGAATTGTGAAACCCTTGCCAAAACAGCATGCTGGCCTTCCGCAGTGTGACCTGACTGGTTCTTGAGCTCCGACTTGCGGATCAAATGCATTCCGCAAGTGCCCGCCGCAAGCCCAGCCAGAACCAGGCCCACACCAACAAGCCACATAGCTTCAAGGGGCTATCTACAACTGCAAGCGCTGCAACCACCTAAAGCAGGGCATTAATAATTAGAGTAGGTTCCTACCTTTACAGCATATCTTGTCCGGAACCTGAGGGGATGATACTGCTGATTGTTCAGGCTTCTTTTTGTGGTGCCTAGTTTGTGACGGCTTCGGACAAGTGTGGCACAATGGCGGAATGTGCCAGGGTATGAAGTCCATGTTCCCGACGACATGTTCAACAACAGCACAAATCCGCCATACCAAACTAGGAAACCCCAAATCTGAATCGCAACGGCGCCTCAACAAGAACAGAGCCCTAAAAACATCGCAGACTCTGTACAGCAGCAGGAGGCCCCAATCACAGTAAGCCCGAGCTATACAATCCCCAAAGCCTGAATGCCTTTTAAACCCTGAACCCTGCCAGCACCCCCCAACTACCCTCTATTATACCCTAAATACCCACTATTAAGGACCATAAGGGCTCTATTAAAGGGTACTTGGGGGGGGGTGCTGGTAAACCCTAACCACTCTGCCCTTCCCCTAAAATCGGAGACCTTCTCCTCGAAACCCTGCACCCCTCTCCATAAACCTGGAACAACTTCTTTTCTCTTTCCTTGCCCCTTAAACTGCAGTTTCATTAAAGAGCAAGGGATCCAAAAGCAAAAAAAGCTCTCCTATCCAACTCTAAATAAGGTACCCGAGGCTTCAGAAACCGAATGCAGGGAAGGCCGAGACGCGAACCCTAAACCCTAAACCCTAAACCCCTTAACCATAAACCCTAAACCCTAAACCCCTAAACCCCTAAACCCTAAACCCTCCGAGATGCGGGAACGGTGGCGTTTTCCTGCAGGTTGCCGACTTCTTTGGGCAACTGCAGCCAAGGCCTTCCCCAAGAAGGTTTAGGGTTTAGGGGTTTAGGATTTAAGGGTTTAGGGTTTAGGGTTTAAGGGTTTAGGGGTTTTGGGGGTTTAGGGTTTAGGGGTTTAGGGTTTTGGGTTTTGGGTTTCCCCCAAATCGAACTGGGTTGATGGCCTTTTCGGGTGGACTTCTCAACAACCACCACATGGCACCAAAGCTC